TATTAATATATTAATATATTATATTGTATATATTATAATGTATTTATATATACAATATATCTGTATATATATATCTGTATATATTACAGATGATAACATATTACAAAATAATCAATATAACTGGGACTTCACTTAGCAAGCTTAACCTTGCAGAATTATACAGCAAAAGGGATAAGCAATAAGAACAGATAAAAGCCTACTGTAGTATTTCAGGTAAGAATGCATAAGGATCAGAACTATTGCAATTTTAATACAAATGAATAATGATGAGAGTAAACAGATATGGGGAACAACCTGAGAGCAGAGTTAAGACAAATTCAAAGATAACCACATTTTCAAGTTGGAGGGAATAGAAGTACATTAGGAGAAATAACTTCTGTGGTCTTATGTGTAAAATAATAGTAGTATGTACCTGCCAGCATTAGTGTACTGACTTGTATGTATTTAGCAATTACCGAGGGATCATTACTATTAAGTGATCCATAAAATGATCTAGTATTAATATCATTATGGAGAATAAAATCTGACTCAAACAATTTTATTGTTTTGTTTATAAGACTAATGAGAAGTTAATAAAAAATTCAAACACTACAGAGAGGGAGAGGGGAGAGGGGAGAAGGAATAAGGGATAGGGGAGAGGGGAGAGAGGGGAGAGGGGAGGGGGAGAGGGGAGAGGGGAGAGGGAGAGGCAGAGGCAGAGGCAGAAGGAGACTATATGTATAATAATGATATATAGATGAGAGAATAAAGTCTATTAAAATGATACAATGAATGATAGAATAAACTGTATAGTTTTTTCAGATTCTACATATGCATATATGTGTATGTGTGACTACATCAAGATATCATTCAAAATCTAGATCTCTCCTCTTAATTCTCCTTTTTGATTTTGGGAATTGAATTAATTCAGAAAAAAATATGTTTAGACAAATTTTTATAACTAAATTTTCACTATAATTACCAGAAACTAAGGAATCAAACAGATTCTTATAATGTGGCACCCTTCCTCTTGAAGATGGCAATATGAACTCAGAAAACAAATAGATTTGAATTTCAAGGGACACTTGTAAATAAATTTTAAATTCAATTTAAAATCAGAAGCATTGCCGGGCATGGTGGCTCATGCCTGAAATCTCAGTGTTTTGGGAGGCTGAGTTGGGCGGACTATTTGACCCCTGAAATTCAAGACCAATTGAGGAAACATGGCAAAACTCCATCTCTACAAAAAATATCAAAAAAATTAGCTAGGCATGGTGGTGTACAACTGTAGTCCCAGCTACTCAAAAAGCTGAGGTTTGAGGATCACCTGTGGCTGAGAGGTAGAAGTTGCAGTAAGCCTTGATTGTGCCACTGCACTCTAGCCTAGGCAACAGAGTGAGACCCTGTCTCAAAGAAAAATAAATTTGTTAAATCTGAAGCATCAAATAAAACTTTCTCCAGCTCCTTGCTCATTTAACTATATGTAAGACTTTTGCTGTGGTTCCTGATTATTTTCATCTATGTTATATAATTTTGTTTGGCTCCATAAATAAATATATGTGTGTGTGTATATATATATTTTATTTTATTTATTTATTTTTTTGAGATGGAGTCTTGCTCTGTTGCCAGGATGGAGTGAAGTAGTGCAATCCTGGATCACTGCAATCTCTGCCTCCTGGTTTCAAGCCATTCTACTCTACTGCCTCAGCCTCCCGAGTAGCTGGGACTACAGGTGCATGCTACAACATTGAGATAATTTTTGTATTTTTAGTAGAAATGGGGTTTCATGATGTAGACCAGAATAATCTCAAACTGCTGACCCTGTGATCTGCCTGCCTTGGCCTTCTAAATTTTGGGATTAAAGGTGTGAGCCACCAAATCTGGCCAAGATTTTTTTTAAACTTTCTTTTTCATGAAAATCTGCTCTTTGTTTTTAAAACTACCTCCAACATTCAAAAGTCACCTAATTCATATTCCTAAAGATGCTAATAGTATGAATTTTTCTAAACGTATTTTATTAGGTTTATAAATATATCTTGTTATCATCAATATGTGATGCTTTACTTAATAGTGATTTCTTTTTTTTTTTTTTTTTTTTTTTTGAGACGGAGTTTCACTCTTGTTACCCAGGCTGGAGTGCAATGGCGCGATCTCGGCTCACTGCAACCTCCGCCTCCTGGGTTCAGGCAATTCTCCTGCCTCAACCTGAGTAGCTGGGATTACAGGCATGTGCCACCATGCCCAGCTAATGTTTTGTATTTTTAGTAGAGACGGGGTTTCACCATGTTGACCAGGATGGTCTCGATCTCTTGACCTTGTGATCCACCCGCCTCGGCCTCCCAAAAAGTGCTGGGATTACAGGCTTGAGCCACCGCACCCGGCGTGATTTCTTATACCAATTGCTGATACTATAGAGAATCAAGAACTCAATCAGTCCCTTCTGATTTTTTTTCAAATTTCATTTTGAAATATCAATTTTATTAAAAAGTTAAAGTTGACTTTTTTCCTAATTGCTCTCTTAAAAGAATCACTAATATTTATAAACAATATATTATTAGAAAATTAAATTTCCTTTATCGCTGGACTTGTGATTTTCTAAACAAGAATTCAAGTTAAACCACAAGGACATTAGTTAAAATCAACGGCAAAATTGAAAGATATGAAAATTAATAATGAGCACAATAATTACTAACAGGCATGATTTTTACTTATGCAAGTGATTCTTCTTTGTACAGATGATTTTAAACAAAACAAGATGCATTCAGAAAACTCTGTCATAGATATACAGGAATGTTAAGGAGTCAAAACTTATTTTTAATCTATGTAAAATCAATCAAATGTACCATACTGTGTATGAGAGAGTATAATAATACAATAATACTTGAAGGATAAAACTATATTCCAGGAAAGTCATAAATCTTTCCTTTACTTTTCTTCTCAAGTGCTGCTGTTTGGTTTTATGCATAATTGAAGTAACTACTTAGTTGCTAGGTCTGGAGCAAATCTTCAGAGCTTCACTTGAATTTATGGGACACTTATTTCAGCTTACTTTAGCCTACTGGTCTTATCACACCTTTTTTATGACAAATAGAAATTCTATCACTGTCATATTAAGTCATGCTTTTATATTAGTAGCCACCAAATTTTTTGTTTGCCCTTATCAATAAAATATTTTGAGAAATGCATGCAAAATAAATGTATATTTTATCACAAATAAAAATCCCAATTAACATTAATAAAATATAAAATGAATACACATTTAACTTTCCTTTTTTTCTGATAGTTTCAGGAACAAATACATTCCATCCCACAGATAATTAATCCACTCTATCCCTTTAAAAGACTGAGTTATCATTGTCATTACCTATTATTCTAGAAGTTCTTTCCTTGTATGATGATTGGGAGGTATCGATCTCCTATTTGTTTTTTTTTTTCTAAACCATCCTGTTTACTAAGCTGAATCTGGTCATCAAAAAGCTTTTTTTTCCATTTTAAAAATGGTTATTTTACCATTAACGCTTTCAACACTGCTAGCCTTTAATTAACATAGAATTTACTATCCTTCTAGCTGAAAGTCCTTATTTCTAAAGTTTAAATTGTTATGATTGGAACAAACAAAAGCATATGTACACTCATTTAATTAACCTAGCTTATTTTAAAGAACAAAGGAGTTTTACCGACAAGATTTATTGAGTGGTTTGAAAATGTGTATTTATCTGTATGCATAATGTATATGTAAACATTATCTTGTAAATCCCTTTATAAGACATATCATCACTGATATTAGCCTCTCACACCTTTTTATAAATCTATTTATGTATTTTTAATTAATCCATAATAGATGTACATACTTTGGGGGGTACTTGTGATAATTTGATACATTCATATAATGTTAAATATCAAATCAGGGTATTTGGAGTATCTACCACATTAACTATTTATCTTTACTTTTTGCTAGGAACATTTAAATTACTGTCTTCTAGCTATTTTGAAAAGTACATTAGATCAATGTTAACTATAATCAACCTACTGATCTATTGAACACTAGGTCATATTTCTTCTATCTAACTGAAAATACGTACCCATTGATCAGCCCTCTTCATTTTTCCCTCCCCTCTACCCTTGGTTATTTAAGAGTAGGAAGATTTTGCTAAATTATTTTAGTATGTCCAATACTAGCAATACCAATACTATATGACTGAAATAAACTTCTAGGAAAAAAGTAATCTTATGAATATCAGAGAAAAGAAGAGATGAGACTATTTTAGTGGCTGACACAGGTTAAATTTGTTTCTCTCTCTCTCTCTCTCCCTCTTTATATATATATATATATATATATATATATATATATATATATATATATATTTACATATATGTATGTATATGTAAATACACATATATATATATACACATTTATATACATATAAACACATTTATTTAATATGTATGACTGATTATCCAAGATAATTTGTGTACTGAAACATAAGAGAAGCAAAATCTTCTGAAGAGAAAATAACTCTTTAAATCTTAAAAAAGATGATTGAAAATACTTTTTATGGAGCTGTGAGTGGATTCAAATGATGTCACTAAATATGGGTGCAGTGCTTTTAGAAGACAAGAATAGGCAGGACCTGAGGGGAAGTATATCTCTCCAAGGAGTTAACTTTTATTTGCAGCATTTTCTAAGTTTAACAGTTATTTGATATGTGTTCCAGTTTTGGATCTGTGTTTTCCTTCCTGAAAGGACTGACGTTCTGCCTGCAGTCTTTCTAAATCTTCATCTCTCTAGCTCACATGTCACTAGCTCTTGGTAATTTTCCTTTGGTCTAGTAGTGACACATATAAATAACCAAAAATCAGAAAACAAGACTCTGGCAACTAATTTCAACAAGCCTTGTTCAATGGCATAGACAGAATGTAATTTATTTTTCGTGACAGTTTTAATAAAAGTGACGTGAAACACAAGGGATGTAATGTGAGCAATATTGCACCTCAAAAGAGGAGAAAGTGTGGCATGTTACCTCCTGATTAGCAGCAGCTAGTTCTTCTTCCAGTGCAGAGACTCTTTCTAAAGAAACCCTCAGTCGCTCCCTTACCTAGAAGAAAAATCAAATATGTGCAGTAATGTACATCCCATCCATATTAAACTGTGCTAAACCCATCATTAACATCATCAGAGACAGTCAATTTGGCAAATTATTAAGGTATTTATATCCCTAAGTGCTCAGAATACTAAACCTGGCAGAAATACAATGAATACATTGTCACCTCGTATTGTCCCTGCATCAAGGGATTTCCTTGTAAGCAAATCCTTTTGGTGGTTCCCTGATAGAGCTTCAGATGGGGTTGGAGATTGACTTGTCTTGTTCTGAATTCTGATTCATAGTAAGTGGAGACAAAGTTCAAAAGTATATTATGAATTCATCTGAAAAACAGTCACTGATTAAGCATGACAAATAGAGAAAACAATACCCCACCTTTTTCTCTATTTCTATAAAATAAGTGAATTTTCATTTGGCACTTAGTATCTAACTTCAAAAATCCTTCACCTAAAGGAAAGGCCTTTTAGAACCTGAAAAATGTTCATTGCTCCTATGCTTTGTATTAATTAGAGGTCTACTTTGTTTTTGAGGAATTGTAAAGTACTTGAGTGTTGTGGAACTTTCAATGAGCTTCCAGATACCAAAGGTTACACCATTGTATTTTATAAGAACTAAAATTTCTGTATAGTTTGGTTTGAAGTTATATAATTTATACATGTTTCTTACTTAACTGAAAAAAAAATGTTTCTTTGATTCTTGATTCCTTATGATTTCTAAAATTGTTTTCATTATTGTATGTTTAGATCTATAAATATGTCCTTTTATGTATATTTCACAAGTAAACATTTCAGAGAAAGAAATATTGCTGAATTAAAATGAATGACTACAGTAGTTCAATTTTCCTTAGAAAATCAACAAACTTTATAAGTTTAACTTAAGATGACATTCATGGTGGAATTTTGATTATTTATAAATTAATATAGGTTTTTCATGTGAATGCTACAGTGTTTGTGCAGTTAATATGTGTTTTAATACATAATTATATTCCTATAAGCTTTCATTTTTTAATTTACTGACAGTATATTTTAATATATGGTATTTTTCTCCTCTAGTAAGATTTAACAGGGAACATGAAAACTCAGATGCATAAAAACATTTAAGTTGGAATTATAACATTATTTTTCTAGTTAGCAAACAAACAAAAAGTCAGTAATGTCCTATTAACCTAGAATCTAATTAAGATTTTTAAAAATCTAAATCATATTTCAGCATTGCATTACAATAACACATATATTCAGATGAATGAATGCATTTAAGTCATGAAATAGACCTTGAATCAGCAATAAAAATGTCCAAGTGGGAATTTTAATATTAATTATATTTTGTTATATTCAATTTCTCTAAAAATAGTAATACACACATAAAGGACATTCGATGTCTAAAACAGTTGCACAGGATCTTTCATAATATTGAGCTAGAGATTAACTGCCAAGTATTATTTCTGTTAGACAAATATCCAATTGTTAACAAAATACATGTAATTAATGCCAATTAATAACCAAACACTAGTTACATAGCAGGAAATCTTTGATCATTTGGAGAATACTTTTTTATGAATTTTCAATATACACAAAAGTAGTAAATATCCCAAAGTCATGAAAATGAGTAGGATAGCTGACGTGTGGAATGCATATATCAAAAAAGGTTTCAGCAGATGTGTGATGTTTAACAGGATTCCCATATTCTAAAATATCAACTGTAAAATACGAGTATTTTGAAGACAGCCTAGTAAACTTGGCTAATGAGAACAGCAATATGAAGCAATCTAAATATATTAATAATCTTGCCATACACAACATTGATAAAATCACAATTCAACTACTGTAGACAGAGGAAGTTACCGTATTTTAAAATACTGACATATTAAAACCTTTCTACAAGAGTCATTCACATCATATAAGAAATAGTTGAATCTAGGCTATATGATAGGTTCAAGTATCTTTCTGACTTTCTTTTGCTAAACTGAAACTCTTAAGACAGTTCCAAACGGTTTTCTACTTACTACGAGTTAAGCATTTATATTCTCATTATAGTGAGTTTTTAAGGAATAAAGATTAACACGTTTATCAAACAATATGAAAATAAAAGAATCATCCCTCAATACATTTAGATTAGTGGTTTACAAATTGAGATTATGTTGTCAACAAAGTAATAAATCTAAAACAGTTTTACAAGAATATTTTAAAAATCTGACTATATTTTGAGTTATGTTATAAATTCAAAAATTGATGCTGTAAATACCAATACAGGGCTTTTATATAAAACTCATATTTATATGAGTATGAACTATTCTCTGTGTCTTTAATTTTGGGGTAATACTCAGGAAAATAAAATATGTTAAATCTTGTCTTGTACTTGTCTCTGCAAAACTTAGTAAGGAAAAATTGTTGGTGGGGTGAGTTTTCTTTCCAGGGTATAAAGAGTCCTAACATTTTACTTTGTCTGTTTGGCTTGAATTGCATTAAAAGAAAAAAATAATGGCTTCTCTGAAAGTCTTTCTGGTTTTCGCTCTGCTTGGAATATCACACTGGCAGAATGCCACAATTTATTTTTCTTGATGGATTTTATGTTCTTGTGAAGCTATCTAGAAATGATTGATAAGCCATAAATAGTTTCATTTTTTCCTAAATATTGGTACACAGTTGAGAGCTTTAGCTCTATATATAATTTTTCTGATTTTTAAAATGATTGAACCACTTTCAATTAATCTATTGTCTTTCTAGTCCTCAAGTTAAAACCTATTATTTACAGACCTATAGTGCAACTCTATTATTATTTATATGCAACTATTTTTTTATTTCTAATTTCATTCATTACATCAATTTTTGTTTTGCCCCCAAAAGCTGTTTCAAAGCCATATAAATTTTATCCCTAAAGATTAAAATAAGTTTCTAAAAATGACACGTGTTCAGGATAAAGAGACCTTGATGGAAGAAATACACATTCCAAACTGAAATTAATATATGGCAGGATTACATTTCAGGAATTATCACTCCCATGACAGAAAATATTTTTGAGGAAATCTCCTCAGACCCGAAGCTCTAATTCATTTTTCATACTGTGATATTTGATAATGAAAAAATATATGGAAGCCATATATATTAAATTTGTTTTGGTTTACATTTCCTATACATGTCCAATATGTTTTTTTTAAATAGTCAATGATTTCCGAGTAATTGAAAAACACAAGTATATGTCTCATGTTTTCCAACCCATGGAATTGGTGAACACATTATAGAATGATTTCAAAATTACTGTTGGTTTTAGCTAATTATGAATATTCTACCCTACAATTCAGTGGATATATAAATAAGTGGACATTAATAATTACAATTATGAATCACTGCAACTATCTACAGCTATACTCAATCCTTGTAAAGCTTATTTAGTTCTGCATATATACTAATCCTTCTAGACAAAGTTGTTTGTTTTTTGTCCTCAAGGCATGGTTAATTATATCTTTTACTGACTTTCCAGATATTTGTATTTACTTGTTTATATGCTTATATTCGCATCCCTCCTCAAGCCTGTGAGAAGCTGTGAGTTATTCTTAGGGATATTGTCTTTGAAGGCACTTAGACACACATTAGTCCCTTGATAACTAAATGAAATGCTATTTTAATGAAGCATCTGATCAAGAGTAATACCAAATCTTAACTTGGTTTGAAAGTTTTATCAAATACTGATATTTATTCCTGTTAATAATAATATTCACAAATATTCACTGAGGATTTGCCATATGCTCAGCACTGGCTGAAAGATTTGCATATCAGATCATATCTAATCCTCATGACAACTCTGAGTTCAGTACTACTATTATCGTAGTTCAAGACAAAATGCTTTGAGTCACTTGTCCAGATCGTCTGACTCCAGAGCTCCAACTCATAACATTTCTTCTTTAGGCCACTGAGAATCACTAGCTGATAATCACTTCAGTTGCCCCTAAACTCACCAATGTTCAGGAGACCTCTGGTGAGTTAATACATATTATTATAGTTCCTAGGGCCACATGATAGACCAACACATTTAGTTATGCTAAGCCCACTGAAGTTCTGTAAAGTAAATTATTTCTAGATTTAGTTGTACAACATTCCTTCTTAAAGGTATCCACATGATCAGGTTATTTGTCTTAAATGCTGTTTATTACTTCTATTCTGATAAAGAATCATTCTTTTGTAAAAGCATCCCTCACTTAAGTGATGCGGTAATGCATACAGGGAACATCTCAAATCATAAATTCTCTAGCACCTTCATTTAAGTCATCTAAAACTCTTAAATTTTCTCTGAATGGGTCCTTCTTTTCTTATAGCTCTGGGTTATTTTCTGTATTGGTACTGATGCTTAGAATATCCTTCTCTGCTTAAAAAACCCTTAATCATTCTTTCTTACCTGGATCAAATGTTGACCTCTCTTGAAGACATCTTTGTCTTTGTCATTACTCACACAGTCACAACTTTTTCTGTGACTACATATTGTGGTGTAAATACTTTTTTAAGAATTGTTTTTCATTGATATGTGAATTCCTAGCACTGACTCTGAACTTCTCAGTCATAATAAGAATATCTCATTTATCTTTGTGTGTCAAACTTCTGCCAAGGAGTCTGATACATACTAAAAATTCTATACATATAAACTCTTGCAAATTCTTAGCAATGTGCTTTTATAAAAAGAGAGAAAATATAATATGAAACTAAATATTGAATACTAAATATTTGATGTCATATTTAGCAAGAATGTTTATATAATATTCATTTTTGTTTTATTCAAAATAATTTTTATACTAGTTGCCTCTCATTGCTAAAATAAAAATGAGATACAATTTCTTAATACTCTAGAAGACAGAATTATAGTTATCCTCATGTACACACTCCACATAATCCCGTTCTCAGAACATCTGAAAGACCAATGATAAAAATATAAATGTAGATAAATATAAAACAGAACAAAAATGTCTGCATGCTTAAAAACTAGATGTAACTGCGAAATAATCCCTAGTTTGGATTTTAATGCTCAGAACTTGTCAGATACTTTACAATGAAGTGTCCCAATTTCCACTCTAACTCCTAAAGCTTTATTAATTTTTAAAAGTTAAGTCCTTGAAATTTCACAAAATTGAAATCATGTCATAAGGCTTCCTAATCTCAAAAGGATATTATCATCAAATTGGTTTATATATGTCAGTATAACTTATTTGAGTAACAGCTAAGAGAAGCTTACAGCTACTTTTAAAAATATCTAAACAGATTTTTCTACTAATATCTTATGATGTTACATGCAGAGACTCTTCAAATGAATATTTAAAACTAAGATATTAGAGACATTAGAAAATCAGATGCTCCTAAAATAAATGTCTAAAAGTTAAAGAACATCCAATTTATATTTCAAAATAGATATAATTTTCACTTAGTAGTCTCTTATTTTGGAATGTATAAAGAATGAGCAGGGTTTGAAAGACAGAAAGAGAGAGGATTCAACATTTCAAATGCCATCTGAACTAGGGCTATAATGTACCATAATAGAAGTCTAATTCTGATAAGCCATAGATTCAGTGGTTTACATAAAGAAGAAGGTTATGAATATTACCAAAATACACACAGTAATCCATTTCACTTTTTAAAATGATTTTTCATATAACTCAAATGTATGCCTCAACTGACTGACTTTAAGAGTCAGGTGAGTCAATGGATAAAGAGAAAGAGCTTGATGCTAATGACAAAAGTGCAGTTAAGTTTGAATCTGTTATCCGTACTATACCTTTTCATCCAAGGCCTTGTGGTGCTCAAACAAAGATTTCAGTGCCTTGAGAACTTCCACTTCACTGGATACTCCTGAGGGAGACTGGGCTTGCCGTTTTACCACCGTCATTCTTAGTGACCTTTCATGTCGTGACACAAGGCACTCCAAATGCTCCAGTAATAGCTATTGGGTTTAACAGAAATTGCAATTAGTCTTATGAATACAAGTCACTAATACCTACAAAATGATTTCCCCCTTAAAACGTTACAGGCTTCCATAGTATCTAATATTAGCTGCAGGTTACGCTACAAGTGGCAACAAATAGGCACAAACCTGTTTAAAACAGGGTTTATAAAATACGTTAAACATAAATTGTATTCGATCTTATAACACATTACTGAATTTAAAAATGTAATGCAAATGTTATGCAGTCCCCTAGAAAATTTAATAATTTCAGTATGGATTCAGTAGAAATAGTACACTTGACAAAATAGGTACGATAATGATGAAAGAACATTGCTTGATGCATCATGATCTTTTTAGAGGATGACAGTAAAAGTCAAAATTTATTTCATTTACATTTGGCCATTAAAATTATTTGAATTGAATAAAATAAGCATAATCATTATAATGTCATTTTAACTTAAATAATCACATGGTTTTATTCACAATTATTCTTTATAAAAAATATATGCAAGCAATTAGAACACAGTAACTGAGATTCTCAATTGTCAGTTCAGGAAAGAAATTTAAGGATACAGTTTTAAGTTGTCTATATTTGAATCTATGTTTTCCCCAGAGTAGCCTCTGGGGCCATGACAGAGGTCGAGTGAAAGTTCCTGAATAGTTTTCAGGCCGTTTCAGTCTCTACACTCAGCATTTGCCAGAGAATTTCTGCTTTTTAATGTTTTGTGAATTAGAGTTTCATATTTGTTTTCATTTCAAAAGAAGTTTTACTGGTAAAAACAAAAATATATGAGAAGAAAAACTGTTGGGTTATTATTAGTTGTTATAATTTTACTAGTGAAGAACCACATACAACTGGTAAGAATTATAGGAAAGTTCTTCAGAAGAATAGTGAAAAACATAGGCTAACAAGTGGTGTCTACTTAGGCCAAAAAAAAAAAAAAAAAAAAAAAAAGAAGAAGAAGAAGAAGAAGAAAAGAAAGAAAAAAGTAGAAATTATCCAAACAAAAGATTTAAAAGCAGATATAAGACGCTGGAGGTAGAAAAGGTAAAGAAAACAACTTTTTTTTTTTTCAATATTTTTTTCTAAAAGTTTAATAAAAACTAAAAGTTTAAAATTTTGGTTTTCACTATACTGGTGTTAGATTCAGTGTCACACATTAGTATCACTTTTTTTTGGTTGGTTTCTTTACATTTGCTGTCACTAATTATATCTCGAAGTGTCAGAAAACTCTGCCATTATTGTGCACAAAGAACACCCTTATCTGAGACACTAAACATGCATAAATCAATAGGTAAGAGGCATAGTTAAGGGTCAAAATAATATTACTTGTTTTTCAGTATGAAAATGACCTGATATTTTCAAGGGGCCTTTTAAAATTTATCCGTCTCTGATTATATGATGGTATTCTATTCTCTTGAATTCTATAGATACATGTGTCCATTGCTTAAATCCAAGCTCTTTGACATAGGTTATGGAGATCTCCATGATCTCCAATTTTTCCAGTGTCATCTGATGTCAGTTTTCCCTAGCAAACTATGTTCCTGCCTTCCTGGCCTGCTTTTAGGTCCTCAGTATGTCAAGCCTTTGCTTATGCTGTATCCTCTGCCTAAAGTACTCCTTCTTTGGTTCCTCATTTAACCAGCTCTTTCTCATTCGTTAAGTCTCAGCTTAAACATCATCTCTCAACAATGCATTTGCTCACTACTATCTTAAGTAAGTTTCTCCTTTTCCCCACTTCCACACGTCTCTATTTCAATCCCTTACTAATTTTTTTTTCAGAATATTTCATGATGTACCATTTACAGAAATTGTTCTACTAAATTTCATTCTATTTTTCCATTGCAATAAAAGCTCCATGAGAGTTGGCACAGTGTCTGCCTCAATTCTCTTGATCCTTTCTTTATGTGGCTGTTAGCTCAATTCCCAACATCTATAGGTATGCAATTAATATTTGTTGAATGAATTGAAATATTAATAAATGAGTTAAATTTCCCTATCTCATATAGTTTTATATGACTCATACAGGCTTGGCTTATATAAAAGCTAAGCCTGTGGCCATGGTTAATTGGCATTATTTCCTAAAAGCTCAGGCTGATTAACATTATTATGTCCATCTATCCTTCAATCTGATGACATAAATAATGAAGCAAGCTTTATAATACAATGAAAACTGTTTTTTTCCTAATTGTAAATTATAAGGATCTTACTTAATATATTAATTCAATAAACATATCATCTAATATTGCACATCTGTGTGTAATATTATATATAGTAATATCAATTAGTAATATCAATATAGTAATATCAATATTAGATATATAGTAATATCAATATTACTGTGCAATATTTAGAAATATAAAATGCCCACCCTCTAGGAAAAGAAACACAACAATGAAGCTATAAAGGACATCTGCCACTAGAGACCAACCAAATCTTTTGATCACACTCTTCACATTTGGCAAGTCAAACTTTTAACTGTCAACATGCCCTCATTGTCTCTTTAACCAGCTTAAAGTTAATAATTCAGTATTTGTAAGCATTTTCTTTCATGATCCCTAAATTTCTAGATTCTGATCACTTGCCTCTACATCCACTGCTAACATTTGGGTCAAGGCCTACAGTCTCCCCTTGAATTATTATGATAGCTCCTTAACTGGTCCTCCGGCTTTCAGTCTTTCATCTTCTGGCTATTCTCAAAACACATTTAAGTTAAAATTTGAGTTAAGTCATTTACACCTCTGCTTAAATTTTTAATGTCTTTTATTGGGCTCAAGTGAAAGCCAAAGTCCTTAATACTTCCCAAAGGGATCTAAATATTCTGAACTCATCTATTTTTCTTCTTGCTCATTGCAGTATAGCTACATTGGCTTGGCTACCTTGCAGTTTTTTGTGTTTAGTTTTGTTAGTTTTGCTTTTAACACATTAAACATCCATGTCCCCACAACAGGGGCTTCGTACTTCTAATTTTCTCTACGTAAAACATTCTCTTTCAGATATCTGCATGATTCTCACTCCACTATCTCTTCCATGTTTTAACTCAAATGCCACTTTTCAATGAGGCTTTCCCTGGCTACCTACAACACTGGATATCTCCTTCCTTGCTTTGTTTGTTCTTCTTAGCATTTGTCCCTATCTAATGTCATATTTATTAATGTTATTTATCTGGCTTACTATCTTTCAAAATTTAATGTAAGGTCAGTAAGGAAATAAAACTTTTTATTTGTTTTGTTCATGGCTGTATCTTTAGTGCCTATAAGATTGGCACATGGTAGATGCTCATGTATGTTTACTAAATGTATAAATAAGTACTGATTAAAGCAATAGTTTGCATCTTTACAGGCAAAATTCTTCAGAGAAATGGATATCTGGGATACTTGACCTGAACAGGTTTGACAGAACCAAAGGTTAAATTAACATAAAAGAAGGGAGATTGTCTTCCCTGGTACATGGGGATGAGATAGTTACATAAATAATCACCTGATCTATCTGGAAATGGGGTGTCAATGTAAGGCAGACCCCTAAGAACTATAAAATTGACATTTGGCAAGATTCAGAGGTGTCTGAGTTACTCTGATACTCTCAATCCCAATGAGTCTTCCTGCTTCTGTGATGAATCCAGTTCTATTTGTCTTAATGGCCATGTTATGACTTTACTTAAAGCAGTTGTCTTATAAGAAGAAACCTCTGCACTTCATGTCCTACCACAAACACCTCCTTCTGCCTCCAGATTTCTAAAATATTAAGAGGTAAATAACAAAGTCTAACCTAAAAAAAGAGAAGGCTTTCACATCAATAGACCTGTATGTTTTTGCTAATTTTAATTTCAGAAATCTAAAAATATATGTAGATGCTGATATTACTGAAACAGAAGAGGGGAACAGCATTTTTGATCTGGTTAAATTAATCAATATGAGTATATTTCTCAAATAATCTGAATTTAACTTTGATGTCAAATACCAGAAAGTGGTTATAATTGTTTCCTTCATGGGTTAATGAAAATATAAACTCAGTAGTGGCCTAAAACAAGTGAATACAGGCTAGAAATTCATTGGGTAGAAGGAAACTGATGATTTTGGAGTTAAAAATGGCAAATTTAGCTCACTCCCTTGCTGTTTCCTTTGAGATGACCAAAGTGACACTATCTTCACTAAGGCACTGGGAAACAGATTGGAAAGAAGACAACACAGGACCTACACAATTGCCAGAACAGAGATTCTTTACAGATAAAAAATAAAAATTGAGAGATGCTAGTCCTTAAAGGAACCCTTTGATTTCTCTGGGGATGACAGAATAATGCAGTGGCGGAGACTAAGTAATAGTATTTAACCACTTAAGCTAAGGTATGTATGGTTACTGTAACAGAAAGAATGGTTTGATCTATTAGACGGGATCTTTGTGATAGCTAACTGATTCTAGGGTTGTTAATAAGACAGCAAGAATTAGGTTGTATTACTGAAATAAAAATATTAATAATAATAAAATCTGTAGACATGAAGGAATAAAATTTGACTTGAGTCACCTGGTGAACTGTCTTGGCCTTCTCCAAATCTTATACCTGAGTGAGATTTTTTAAAAGTTAAGGTGAGGTTGTATAGCACCAACATTTTTACTTTCCTGCTATTGAGAGATATGTTCCCTCCACTTAAATTTGGGTGGATTTGTGACTGTTTTGACCAACATAGTATGGCAGAAGTCACATTTTGTGATTTCTGAGCTTAGGTCCTAAAAGGCCAGGTAGCTTCCAACTGGTAGACCAGAACATTTGCCCTTAAGTCCCTGAGCTGTCATGAAAGAAGTCTGAGTTTTCCAAGACTATCATGCTGGAGAGGCATGTGTAGGTTCTCTTGTGTAAAGTTCCAACTGAGTCTGCCTGTCCTTCAGCTATTCCAACTCAGGTGCCAGACATGAGCATGAAGAATGCACTTCACAAGCGAATCTTTCTGACCCCAAATATTTCAGTTATCGCCTGCAAATGGTTTGCTAGAGCAGATGT